GAAGGCCCCGCCACGGATCTGTATGTGTGCTCCTCGAAGAAACTCCATAATGTGCTGTGCTGTTGAGGTCAACAGCAAGTCGACAACTTTAGGACAGACTTTTTAAGAATATATGGAGCATTTATGAACTTGACCTTGCACTGGGCCAACAAGCAAGTTTCACGGTAAAAGCCAAATGGGTCCTTTTCTCTGAGTAAAAGCAATTAAGGCAGAAAACAATGAGCTGTAAGACGGCTGGAAAGTCTCACTTGCCAGTAGGAAACATACTTGCAAATCACTCACTCACGCTTCCTAGCTCTTCATAATGCAGATCCCCAGTTAAGAAATGCAAACATCATTTGCTCAAGTTTACCCAGTTAGCAATGGGGTTGCTAGGACCAAACCAGATTGTAGAACTCGAGTGTCCACACTAGGACTCACACTGGCCCTCCCACCGTCCCAGGGCCTCACTGCACCCCAAGTTCACAGCGCAGAAGAGCTGTTGAGAGGTGGGGACCTCCTCCCAAGTGACTTTGGAAGCACTGACCCTGAGCCTCCTGGGCAGAGATGCAGTGCTCTTGTGCGCTTACCTCCCCGGGGTTCCCCCACTTGGGCTGAGGCGAGAAGTCTAGAGCAGTGGAGAGGAGCGTTTCAAGTTGAAGTAGGTAGAAATTAGGCCTCGTGTGCTTTGTACCAGACTCCTGAGAAGACTTACTTTCTTTTTAAGTTATTTTTCCTACATGGGCATAAGTGGTATGCGAACAAAGAAAGACAGAAGGAAAAGTCACTTCCAGATGGTTCCCCCATCTTGCTCTAATGCAGATTAAATCAGGAGAATATTCCAGCATATCATTGAACAAATATGAGTATTAATATCATTCATATTTATCAGTGGAACAGGGTAGAAATTCCATCTATACCGTGACTTCAATTTGGGGCGTGGGCTTCAGAAACAGAAGAGTGACACTCACAGCAGCCTGATGGTGAGCAAGTAGGAGGTTCAAATTATCTGAGGTAGGAGCCAAGCTCAAAGGGTCCCTGGGCTTCTTGGGGTGGCCCACGACTCTACCAACTGAACTACCCCCACCTTGTGGCAAGGGCCTGGTCAGGCGGCTGCTTAACACTGTTGTTAAGTCTCCAGCCCAGCCTGCTGGTGTGTTCTGTCTAGGTCCACTTTTAGCAAAACCCACTTGCAATGAGCCTCACTGTACCTCAGCTTCTCTCCCCGTGCTGCAAGGACAATACTACTTCGGCCCTCTGTGGACTCACAACTCTAACAGCCCTGAGTGTACGCTCAGGACTACGCTCAGACGACGGGAAGGCCGGAGGCATGACGGTGGCCTGTGTCTCAGAAAGTTACCAGAGTGCTCAGAACTCACCAAGCGGCCCAGAGAGGGAGAAGGTTGAGAGGGAGGAAGAAACCGTCCCAGCAGGCCAGGGGTGCTGAAGGTGGAATTTTCACTCCATCCTGTGCCTTTGTTCCTTTCCTGGAGAAGCCACACTGGTCCCAAGTGAGGGTGTGCTGGGTTTATAGCACTCAGCTGGGGTTCTCTGTCTCCCCTAAGCCCTGCCCCACTGCTTGTCCCCACACCACCAGGCTCAGGCCCCAGAAAGTCAGTTTGGCAATGACTAAGTGATCCAAGTCCCAGTGTGAGTTTAAAATCAAGTCCAAGATCAAAGCACCCAGTTGCCTAATCAGCAGTGTGACTGCATCTTCTCGATCTGTGAAGAAGGGTCATGTCAACCACTCCCTGAGAGCAGGTTATGGGGTCCTGGACAGGCCCCAAATGGGAACTTGGCTCACACAAATGGCTCGTTGTGCCTACAGGCTAGACAGATAGTGGGGGGCCCCTGGGATGAGCGACGGCCCAATGCCTTCAATGAGGTCGTCCCACTGGTTGTAGTCCTCTTTGAGATCTGCAGGGGGACAAAAGAGAGAAGCCAGGTAAGTCACTGTGGGGTGGAGCACAGAGCAGCTCCCAGGGCGTCTGTGGCTCCGCCCAGAGACAGGAGCCCTGGGAAGCTGTGAGGCCGCTGTACTGGCGGCAGAGACAGAGATGATTTTTCATTCAGTGCCTTTGCAAATGGGTTTCGTAAACGACTTGCTTAATTCACAACAACTCAGTAATAGAGGTAACATTTATTGAAGAACAGTCCATCCTGGGATTGTGCTAAGTATATGTCGTCCCATTAATTTTCGCCCTGTCTCTGAGATAAGCACTCTTATCGGGCCCAGTTTACAGCAGGGGAAACACAGAGCCTCAGAGAAGCGATGTGACTTGCCCAACAAGGTCGTTGCTGCCAGTAAGTGGAGGAGACAGAATTTGAACTCTTGGTCAGAAAGGATGAGGAGATGGAGAGCCTACTTTCTTCCAGGCTCAGGGAGGGTGCTGCGTGAGGAGAGCCCCATCACACACCAGCCAGTGGGTGGAACCCAATGTCATCACAGTAAAGCGGGAAGACGGACAGCAGCATCGTACACGACACTGGGGATGGCTCAGGGAGGCCTGGTCGCAGCCAGGTGCATCAAACTGCCCAGCGAGCAGTCAGAAAGGCCAGAGCCTCAGGCCGAGGGCACAGCTCCTAAGCCAGAGGCAGAAAGCTCCACCCTGGCATCCCCAGCGCCCTGCTGAGGACCAGGCATGGGCTAGGACCCCAACAAATAATGCTACATGTTCACTCATTCAAAAAATACTGGGTGCACACACAATATACCACGGTCTGTTCCTGGTGCTAAAATTAAGGGTTTCTACAGACAGAAACCCTCACCCCTATAGAGCTCACCACCCAGGAGACAGGGAGCAATCAACAAAATAAATGACATAGGATGTGAAAAGGTGAAGAGACAGAAGCAGGGAAGCTGGACGGGGGACAGGAAGGAGGGAGGAGGAAGGCAGCCACCGTGTCTAAGAAGGGTGAGGCCTGAGCGAAGACCGCAAGGAGGCAGGTGTGGCCGCAGGGTATGTGGGGAGAAAGGGGGTGCACGAAGACTACAGTGGAGAACGACGGAGCCTTGGGGCTGGGGTGTGTGGGGCGGGACCCAGTACTTCTGAATCGGGGGGAACGAGAGCCAGGGACTGTGGGGCGGGCACCCAGGCAGCAGCCGAAGGCCTGGCACAGGCAGGGCCCGGAGTACCCGGGCTTGTGCTGTGGGGGGCGTGGGAGGGGCTGGCAGAGCAGCAGCCGGGGAGCAGAACAGCAGGCCCTGGAGGGCCGCACCACGCAGCTGGGGTCACCGGGCATGGCCTCTGTCTCTCAGAGAAAGGAGGAGCCCTTGGAGGGCAATGGGCAGTAGGTTCTGAGGGCTCACCTGGTTCTCTCTGAAGGGCGGGGACACCAGTTAGAAATCCTCACAGTAATTTAGGTGAAAGATGACTCACATGAGATGCAGCCATGAGGGACCCGGCCATGTGCGTTTGGAAGGTCGGGCCAACAGCATTTCCCAGCAGCGGACCGGTGTGAGGGAAGAAACAAGAACAAAGACTTCGGCTCGAGTCACTAGAGAATGATACATCTTTTGGCTGAGAAGGGTGAGGCTGAGGTTAAAATTAGCGCTGCTGGAGATGTGTATCCCTACCCAAGTGGAAACGGAGAGGAGGCGATGGAGGGGCTACAACTCTGATGATGGGAGAGAGCACGCTGGGGAGAGGCGGCGCGGAGAGGGACTAGATGACCTCGGGGCTACGGACAGAGAAGAGGCCCAGGCGCAGGCCCTGGAAGCAGCAAAGCTGGTCAAGGGTGAGCAGAACGGAGATGGGAGGAAATCCAGGGGCTGCCTGGGAAGGAAAGCCAGGCTCCGCGAGGGGGCGTCGCCCGCTCTGCCGGAACCTGCAAGAGTGCCAGAGAGCGAGGAGTGAGAGGTCAGAGCCTGGCACTGTGAAGGTCACTGGAGACCTTGACAGAAGCAGCTTTCCTGGACGTCGGGGTGTCAGGGCAGCAGTCACTGGGCATGCAAGCTCACCACTGACTCGAAAAGTGGAAAAGAAAATCGAATCGTGGCGCCCTCGGGAGACCTGAGAGTGCCGAAGGGGAGACCAATACACCTCCCGCCTGGCCACCTCTGCGCTCTCTCTGGCTTCTCTCCGCTCTGCCATGCTCCCCAGCCCAGCGGCAGTACTCACAGGTGGGGTGCCCTGTGCTCCCCGGCTTCTCGGCCCGGGTATGGCAACCACAGACACGCCTGCCCCATGCTCGTGCTTTTTACAATAACACGTCGCCACGTGTGGGCAAGGAGCCCTGGGAGGAAAGCAGAGCCACAGGGGCGGCCGTGGAGGCCGGCGGAGGGAGGCGGAAAAGCCCGAGCTACTCCCATCTTCGGGTGGGTTTGGCGGGAGTGGAAAAGACTCAGGGAAAGCAGACAGACATCTGCAGTGTGAACCCTGACAGGTGCCCGACAAGCTTCCATGTGGAGACACCCACTTCAAAGAGGGGCACCTCGCGAAACACGCTGCCTCCTTCACTGAGGCGCCTTTGGTTACAGACCCTCGCTGCTTAGGGCACCGGCCATTTGGGACCCTGGGTGTGTGTGTTTTCCTGCTCTTCTGGCGCATTAAATCCCCTGCTCTGCTTTAAACTCACCAGTGAAGAGCGAGCCCCGAGTCCGAGGCCTCACCTGACCTGATACCGGCCTCTGTGGCACGGTGCCCTGTGCAGGCACCAGGACTGCTGAGAGGTAAAGCTCCTATTGCCCCAGTTTCCTCAGGGGTTGGCGGCAGGCACTCGCCTGTCCTAAGAGCCACCAGGACTGGCCCAGCCACAGCGGCTACTGACAGGCTGAAAGTGGCACCATCAATCCTTGCGCAGTTATGAGGACGCGGAAATGGGATGGTGACCAGAGGGGAAGGCGGGGTCAAGGGAGAATTTGTAAAGATAAATTGCAGCGGGAAATAAAGCTGTGGGAAGGGCAGAACTGCTGGTTTGAAGCTCCTGGACAGGCCAGCGAGGACGACGATCCCAGTGCACGCGGAGGTGTTGGCCCGCGGGAGCCAGGCCGGAAGAGAGTGTGGGGGTGGGATGGGATGTGGGGACTATCAGGCCTGCTGCCGGTTTCTGGAATAGCGGGAGGCAAAGTAAACCCGCTGAGAGACAGGAAGCGTGAGAGGGCTGAAGAGGAGAAAGTGTGACGGGTCTCCCAGGAGAGAGGGCGAGGAGGGGCAGGCGGAGACAGGCGCTGCACGCAGTTACTATGAGAGGCACCGACCTCCACAGTGGACAGGCCCTGGTGTCCGCGGACGCACTCGGGCACTGTTTTCGGAGTGGTGAGGTTCAGCGGAGCCCCTACCACCTATTTTAGTTCCCAAGTGGCTGCACACTGTGGGGCCCACAAAAAGCTTTTCTTGCTTAGCAGAGCTAATTACCTCAAGTGGAGAAACTGCCTTTTTCAGATTGTGTTATCTCTTGCCACCTTGCAAGCGCCCCACCTGGCCTGGCCCCCAGGATGCAGCCAGGGGCAAACACACGCCCATGCATGGCGTCACTGCTGAGAAGCCAGCCGCTTCTCCCATAGCCTGTGCATAAAATTCAGACTTACGCCAGCAAACACACGGGCCACTAGCCCTCCCTCTGCCCACCGGTCTGCCAGATACACTCACCACAGCAGCCCGAAACTGACAAGGCCCACTCAAGCCTCTGCGCCTCCTGCCTCTTCCCTGCCGGAGAACCCCTGCCTCTGTCAAGATGAAAAAAACTGCACTGCTTTGTCTCCGGAGCCTCCTTGCTGCCTGCCCTTCCCCTCAGACACAGCGCGCCAGGTACTCTGTGTTCTGACCTCAGACAGCACCTGTCCTCTGCGTCTCCTGAAGACTGAGCATATAGCCTGGTGCGGAACTTTCCCCAGATCACCATCAGAGACACCCGCAGAACAGTGCCGTAAAGAAGCATGTGGGCGCCGAAATCAGACAGCCGGGACAGCATCTTGGCTTTGTCATTTAATAACCAGGCAACCTGGGCAAACTGCTTAAAATTTCTAAGTGTAGTATCCTTAGCTATCAAATGGAGTCGCTAATAAAAGGGCTGACTGGGAGGGCTACCTTCAGGATTACGCAGGACAAAGTACTTAGCAGGCGACCTGGCGTAAGTCTTCCACGACCTTCCTACAGTCTAAGACCTCCCTACCCTCCATCTCTTCTTCTTAGCTGGTCTCCAGGAATGAGTAACTCAGCTTGACAGCCAGTGCCCTGAGGGGCCCAGGGCGGGAGTCTCTGACAATATCCTCCACCTCCAGCTTTTACCCAATGACAGGCGCCTACAAGGCAACAGGAAGCAGGCCGAGCGCCAAGTGGTCAGCCATGTTTTGAGACGCAGACCCTTTTTCTCCTACCAGGTGATAAGAACGATGCGCTAAAAGGTCTCCAAACCCAAAGCCTCTAAACTCAGGCCAGAATAATGGTTTGTGACAAGTAAGATCAAGTGAACAGGGAGAAACTATAAATGTAGAAATGAAAAAGTCAATATAATAGAGCAGGCAGGTTAGAAAAGCAAACTCCATCCAAACCAAAGTTGTTCGGCATCTGTTGGCAATGTCCACACACTCAGGCCATTCAGCTACAAGTCAGGTGTCCAGTCACATAGGCGACTGGGCTGCTGTCCCAGGGACTGGTCAGATCAGATCCAGCTCGCTGTGGTCAAGTCAGGGTACTGCATGTTAAAACAGACAAACAGAAATCCAAGGGGACCAATGGCAATGGGAGCGGGCGAGGTACCAGGGGCATTTGGCTTAACGGGCAGGGAGTGCCAAACTGACTTCGAATAGCTAAAGCGCTGCTGCGGGCAAGGATCTGAGGCTCCTCTGGGTAGCTCGAGTGGACGCCCAGGGCAGGTGGGGAGGAGTCACAAAGCATGGGATCTTGTTCTAGGTCAGAGTTAGGCTAAACCTGAGAAATCCAGGCTGGCCTGGCCCCCGTCTGAGGGAAAGAGTCCTAGGACCGTACCTGCTGAGGAATCAGTCTCATGCCAGTGACAGCCCACCCATGCGGGCTGGACCAGCAGGGATGCTGATCCGGAGAGCTCCGCACCAAGGTGGGGGAGCGGCTGCATGTGTGGGCAGGTGAGGGTGAGCTGGCACTATGAACCCGTCTCTGGTGGGAAGGTGGTCTAAGCAGAGCAGCGAGCAGCAGAAGCCACAAGTGGTTCAAGCCAATCAAAATTAAATTTTGAGGGAACAAAAACTACAAATAAGCAGATGCTATCAGCAAGAGAAAAAAAAAACCACAGAGTAGAAAGAAGAAACATGCTGACTGGAGCAGACAGAAACAGATGCCGTGAGAGGAAGAGACACAGCCCGAGTCCCTGAGAGAGAAGTCACTCCCACAAGTTAACTTGGTGCCTATGACTTCTTGCTTCCCACCTGGTCAGTTCCTAAATGAACTCCCTTTTTTTTTTTTGGTGAGGTACATCAGTAAGCCTCTAATCCGTGTAACCAAAAGTTTCAGCAGAGTATCAGCTCTAACATTTCTGCTTCCTGTGGTGGAGGGCTGACCTCTGCTGCAGTGTGCTCTCCACATGTGACCTGAGGCAGCCTGGGGCAGGGAAGACAGGAGAGGCTAGACCAGAGGCCTCTAAAGGCCTGGCTCTCTAGCTGGTTGTCCAGCAGGAGTCATCACACTCCTTCCAGACGTTGTCCTCTGAAGCACTTCCACAAAGCAGCCAGGAATCAGCATGACCTCATTCACAAAGCATATAAGGGGAGTGGTAATGACATCAGAGAAGCCCAGAGGTAGCGAGGTGAGAGGTGAACGTTCCATTTACAGTGAGAAAGCCAACCTCAGAGAAGTGAAATGACTAGACCAAGGTCTTTCCATTATGAACAAATAGAATCAGAATCTCCACACTTTTAGCTAAGTGCTCTTAGGAAACTCTTCTTCACTAGGTTTCCCTTTTGCCATAAACCTCCCTGATACCTTATAGGCAGTATAGACCACTGTGCAGGAAAATTAAGGGTCTTCACACACCCCACCTCTCTCCTTACCGAGGTGCTTCTGCAGGAAGGCCAACATGGCCCGCACCACAATCTCCTGACCTTCGTAGGGGTCCAAGCTCCCACAGGTTTGAGTAGAGAAAAATCTTCCGATCCAGTTGCTAGTCACAAAAGCAAAGTCCGTTAGACTCCGATGAACAGAACCACTGAAAGTGAAGAGAAACAAGTAACTGGTAAGGGTCTGGAGGCTGCAGCACACGAATATTATTAAGCACCTACCACGTGCAAGGTGCTTGATGTCACTGGACTTTTCACAACAGTCTTGAAAGGGAAGTATTTTCTCCCTTTGACAGAGTCAGAGAAATGATGTGAGGCCACACAGCTAGAAAGGGTGTGAATGCAGGTATACCCACCTCAAAGCTACCTAAAGCCCAAGGCCACAGCGCCTGGCAGTGCAGGAAAAAGGCTGAGAACTGGAGGGGGTTGGAGAGGAGGGCAAGGGCTGCTGCACCCACCACCCATTCTTATAAATAATATTCCTGCCCCCCCCCCCACCCAGTGGCACAGTGAGCTGGAGCGCTGCACTGCGAAGCTAAGCCAAGCCATGGCTGCTTCAGTGCGAGTCCGATCCCCGCCCGGGAGGTGACCCACGTGGCACAGCAGACCTCTTCTGTCTTGACAACTGCTCCCCTCAGCACTGTATTTTGTCTGCCTGTTCTGCTCCCCACTCTGTCTCTGGTGAATCCTCTCACCGCCCCCTGCACCTCTGTATGCACAAATAAACAAAAATCTTTAAAAAACAATATTCCTCTGCCCTTCCAAACATTAACAAAGCACATTAGCTCCTTCATAAAGTAAACAGGAAAATGGGATTATCTGCCTTTGTTGTATAGTTAGGAAAGCAAGGGCCAGCACAGGGAAAAGCGCCTTCCAGATATCAACATGCTGCACCACAATCTCCTGACCTATGTACAGGATATTTCTTAAAGTCACTCAAAAATTTCCTCTGTGAAAAATGGCTCCTGAAAACCATCTGATGATGCTGGTGACAGAAGTGAAGTGAGTGCAGTCTCTCTGAGGCACATTTAGGTGGTCGTGGGAGACATCTAGATGCAGGTATTCATGAATATCTCTGAAAATTCATCATGTCAGGCCCTCCCTGGTGGCGCAGTGGGTTAAAGCACAGCACTAAGAAGCTAAAAGCTAAAAGCCACTAAAATGCTAAAGCCACTTCAGGATTAGTTCAATCCCCACCCTGGAGGTGACCACATGGCATGGCAGACCTCTCCTGACCCGCCCGCTGCTCCCCTCAGCAGTGTACTTCGTCAGTCGGCTTATTCTGCTCCCCACTCTGTCTCTGGTGAATCCTCTCACTGCCCCTGCACCTCTGGCCTCTACCTCAGTTCTGTATGCACAAATAAATAAATCTTAAAAAAAAAAAAACCATCATGTGCATGTCAAAACTCCTCTATATGTATATTCTTCAAGATTCAGTTTCATTCCCAAATGAGGTCAAACCCCACCCAGGCCCACCCTCTTCCTCACCAACACACAGTCCCACAGTATCTTTATCCAGAGTGACAGGTAAATCCTGCCATAAAATCATACAGTAAAGCAGTGGCCCTGCCTGGTGGCACAAGGGGTTAAATCTCAGCTCTGTGAAGCTGTCTACAACCACTGCAGCACAAGGTCAAGGTCTATCCCCGGCTAGGGAGCTGACCCACATGGCACAGCAGATTCACCTGTCTTGCCCGCTGTTCCCCTCAGCAGTGTTTTTCAGTAGATCTGCCTGTTCTGCTCCCCACTCTGTCTCTGGTGAATTCTCTCACGCCTGCACCTCTGGCCTATACCCAATCTTGTATGCACAAATAAATAAATCTTAAAAAAAAAATCATAAGGTAGTAAAGAAATCACTGTAGCTTGAAGCTAAGTGGACAAGAGGGATGGATAAGAAATTCTAGAGGAGTTAAGAATTCGAAATTCAGGAAGTATTTAGATATTCTATTAATGGGAAGAACTTCCAAAGAATTTAGAAGAAACAAAGGAGGCACAGCTGACTAGAAAATGGAGCCAGGCTGGGATCATAACCTTGGGGTTCACTCACAGGACGGTGATGATCCTGGACTGCTCATGCCGGGCACATATCTTCTTCATCAAGTTGACACTCTCGACTGTCTGGAATTTCTCAGCATTGATGAAGAACACAGGGCCTTGGGCCTTGGGGTAAAAATCCCGTTCCAGAGGGAACATCCAAGGATCCAGAGCCACAGCACACCTGAGACAGGAACAGACACCTAGAAATGCCACACCAAGCTGGAGCAGCTGGGGACAGAGCACTGTCCCCCTTTTCTTCCTTTTATGCGTGAAGGCTCAGGGAGGGGGGCCCATACCTTTCATTTAGGATTTGGATAGAGATCACTTGCACAGGTCACCAAAGATCCTTCCAGATTTTAAACTCACTCAGAGCAAAGATCAGCCCTTGTCCTCCTGGAGCTACACTCTGGCAGCTGACTTGAGTGACCCAGAATGGCATTTCATGCACTGAACTGTTCCTCCATTCAACAGTTGCTGAGTGCCCACTCTGTGCTCAGTCCCGTGCCATGGGCACAGAGACAGATGGCACTGTTCTCACTCTCAAGGAGCACCCCATCGAGCAGGGAGTCAGAGCAAACAGGGAATAGAGCTTAGTGCCCTGATCGCACACAAGGTGTGTGGATCAGAGAGGGACTCATGGGGGCCCTGACTCTCAGACTGGCCAGTGTGTCAAGCAGTGACCTCTGTGTGCGAGGGTAAAACTAAGGCCCTGACTCTCCCTGGTGGTGCAGAGGGTTAGAGCACAACACTAAGAAGCTAAAGCCACTTCAGCATGAGTTTGATCCCCGCCCTGGAGGTGACCACATGGCGCGGCAGACCTCTCCTGACCCGCCCACTGCTCCCCTCAGCAGTGTACTTCGTCGATCTGCCTGTTCTGCTCCCCACTCTGTCTCTGGTGAAGCCTCTCACAAAACAAAACCAAGGCCCTGAGAGTAGCACTGCATCCTGCACGCCAGCCTCCAGCTCTCTCAAGAAAGGACCATCAAGTCCCCACACACAGAGAGCCTCGAGTCCGCGTTCCAGCACCTCGTCCATAACTGAGTCCTGGAAACTCTCAAACATGCCAGCTCCAAGCACGTCTCTCCTCCCAGGGCAAGTCCACCACTTGCCACCTTGATTCTGAAGTAGTTCCCCTCAACCAAGCCTTTCAGAACTCTCTTGCCAAAATGCATGTCTCAGACAGTAGCCAGAGGGAGCTTTGGAAACATAGAGTTTTCTCTACTTAAAATCCTTCAATGGTTTCCCAACTTCAGTAGAATAAACTCTAATTCCCTTGCTCTGGCCAGGAGGGCCTGTGGCCTGTTTCTCTCGATGATCACATCTTGACAGCCTCCCCCTCACCCACCTGCCCCTCCCACACCACCACAGCAAGCTGTTCTCTCTGGCTGGGGTGATCGTCCCCGGCCTTCACTGGCTGGCAGCTCTGCCTGAGTCTTGGCTTCTGTTGCTGTCTCAGAAGCCTCCGACTGCTCCAGCCTGTCAGCCTACCCTTTTGTCTTCACTGAACTGGGTGCTGGGGGTTCCATTATTTGTTACCTTATGTACAAGTCTGGCTCCTCCCAAAGGCATCTAAAACCCTGAAATCGGAGACATTGCTTTCTTGTTCCCCACGGGATCCCCAGTAACCTAGCACCGAATCCTTGTGAAATGGACTGGGTGAAGGGAGAGTGTGTGAAGATAACAGTGACCCCAGTGGGACACTCACCGCAGCTGGGTCTCCCTGGCCAAGGCCAGGACAGCCGTGGCCCCTCCGAATGAATGTCCCATCACGGCCACCCGGCTCATGTCGATGCCGCCCTGAGAAAAGCGCAGAGCGCAGCCAAGTCAGACACGCAGGGCTGCCTTTTTAGGAACTCTTGGGGGGCAAGAGGAAGAAACAGTAAGACCAGGAAGGATGCAAAGGCACCACACAGCGGGGGAGCCCCTCAAGCCTCAGCACCACCAGGGGGCAGCAGTCAGGCACCCCGGGGGGCCAAACTGCCTTCGGTGGGCGGGAATTCTGAAAACCTTGCTTTTCATCTTTATTTCAATAATTTCCCACCACCAACACCAGAGGAGCGTAGACATTCGGATGTCCATGAATAAACGAGTGGGCAGAAGAGACGCGACTGCAGGCTGATGTGTGAGTCCAGGAGAGCATTAGGGATTAACACCCCCCCCCCCACTCTAGACTCCAGCCTGCCAGCAGCCTAGCGGGGCGCCCATGGACGAGGCGCCCATGGGGTGGGGGGGCTGCTGCCCGTCCATGGCTCGCTGAGGCAAGGACTGTTTGTGCAGAAACCAAGTCAGGTTCTACTCCCTCTGGGTCTGCGTCCTTACTTTTATCCAACAGACTGAATCTGCTTGCTCCAACAAGCTCTTGCAAGTGTCTATTTCTGGATGTCCCCAGAAGCCTTCGGGGCACGGTTATATAAAAAGCTGCCGCAGCTGCCTGCCACGGGGCTGGAGAAATCTCGCTAGGCTTTGCTGTGTAACCTCTGCCCTGGGCTCTTGATCTCCTCTGCTCGCCCCAATTCCTATCCCAGTTCTGCAGCTAACTTCTTGGCTCAGTCCCTTCAGATCAACGGCTTGGTGGATCCCCTCTTCAGCTTTATTTGCAGGCCAACGGGACTACACACACCTCCGTGTCTCGCCCCGTCTGGGGAGCGGCGCTCTCCCTACCCCACACAGGCAACAGCTGCCCTGGTGCCCGCTCGAGCTGCTCGTGCACATGTGCGGAAGCACGGACATATCTACGCCTTCTCTTTTTATGCAAGTGGTGTGCTAGCGTGCATTTTGCACGACATGAGCACATAAAGAGATTCTTATCCTTTTCCCACAGCTCCATTTAACCTCACCATGGTACACACAACAGTGATCATCAGATCTGTTCCTCTTTTGGACAGCTAAACTATATTTCCCAGCAGTTCAATGTGGCCTTGAGACTGAGTGCTTGACTAGTTCTATCTATTGTGTGAGTGAAAGTAGAACCTCTACCTCCTGGCCAGGTACATACGAATTCTTAATCAGGCCCTCCCTGGTGGCGCAGCGGGTTAAAGCACAGCACTAAGAAGCGAAAGCCACTTCCTCGTGAGTTCGATCCCCGCCTGCCCGGAGGTGACCCACAGGGTGCAGCAGACCTCTCCTGACCCGCCGGCTGCTCCCCTCAGCAGTGTGCTTCATTGGTCGGCCTGTCCTGCTCCCCACTCTGTGGTGAATCCTCTCACTGCCCCTGCACCTCTGGACTGTACCCCAGTTCTGTATGCATAAATAAATCTTAAAAAAAATTCTTAATCAAATGCCCATGCCCTTTGCCATTTTGCTGGCTTCATGTGCTCAGTGACACTGAGTTTTCATAAGTAGAAGAGGGCAGAACAATACAATGGAAGGAGTCTGAGTCCCCGGGGACCCCCTGAATAGGAGTTCCTGTTTTGGACTTGATATGAGAGAAAGCCGCATTTCTATTGGGTCAAACCACTGAGGCTTGGGGTTTCATGTGTCATCATACTTAGTATTACCCAAACAAATACACCCATTTTTCTATCATCTAGTAAACTAGTTCTCTCACTGGAGAACAAGTTTTGTTATTGCAATCAATGGTGGGATGAGTAATCTTGTCCATACATCATGCTGTATGTATTTGTAGAATTCCCAAAACTGAAAATTCCTGGGTCAAAAAATGTGAGCCTTCGTGCCGCTGACAGCTATTGCCAAACCGCACAGCCTGGAGCAACCTGTACTGTCACCAGCAATGGAGAAGAGTATTCACTTCCCACAGCTGTGCCAACAGTGAATCATCAATTTTGGGGACTTATTCAATCTGGTAGGTAAAGAATTAGGTTTTCTGGTCCTGAATTTTCTCCAAAAGGTTGCCTCTTCAGCTCACCATAGTCTGCGACTCCCCACAGCTGTCTCAGGTTCACGTGCACAGGCCCAGACATCAGGCTACACGCTGGAGCCCACACTGAGTAGTTGGTGACGTGCTCCAGAGCTCAACCTCTAGGCAGATGCGTCTCCCCAGAAAACCAGAGCCTTTGAAAGCATTTTCTGAAGAGGTTTTGGGGACCTCTGTGATCCTTGGGCTCTTTCTATGTAAGAGATTATAGTGCTTTCTGCAGGAGTCTAGGTGAGGAACTCTTACCACGGTACTCATAAAGCAGACATATATTTGACATATATACGTAGGATATTAAATACATGGCTTTAAAAATTATGCCGTAGAAAAATATTAACTGGCATAAGAAGACACATGGCTTTGGTGAGTGAAGACAAGGGCCACAAAATGGCTATGTCACATGGTAACATTATTGTTTTTTAAAAAAATCAATGTATATTAAGTTCCACATTTTAAAGGAACCAGAAAGACAAACATGTCCCGAAAATTGCCCCAAAATGTCCAAGAAATTCCTTTTTGTGCTTTGGTGTGATTTCCTGTTCCCTGAATAGAGCCTGAGCTATTTCTGAAATTAGGGGAGAAACATCCAGGGAAGGTAGCAAGAAAAATGTACCTTCCAGGCCCCAAATTCCATCGCCAGGAAGTTTCTGTTCTGGGAGGATGCTTGGGATTCTCTCAAGGAGGCGATCAGCCTACAGTCAACATGGGTTGTTGCTGCTTGACGGCCCTTCCTTTGGGATGGGACCATCTCTCCTTTACCAGGCAGTACTGTAGGGCCCCCTGGTGCTCAGGTTCGCCTGACTCAGAGGTGGGTATACGGCCTAGGCAGGCCAATCAGCACCCCACTCCTCCCACACGGACCCTGGCCCAGAAGGCGCACGTGACCCGAGCGGAACCACAGTCTTGCCAGATTAATGGGGGTGGTCTCTTTTCTTCTTAAATCTGGAGCTGAGCAGAGATGCGGGCTTGGGCTGCCACCCGCCACCCTTCCTGCCCAATGGAGAAGGTCTGGTGAGGCCCACAGATAGAAACTGAGCCGGGGGAGGTGAATGACAGCTCCCCTGACCGGTCTGCTTTGATCTTCCCAGTTACTTGAGCCAATAGCCACTAACTTTTGGTTTAAGTCAGTAAGTTCAGTTTCTGGACTCATAACCAAGGGAGTCCTGATGAACACGAGTTCCAGGTCGTGCCGACAGTTGTCATACCTTCAAGGTCGCCAGATCCAACCCCCCAGGCAAGACGTTAAGGATGGGCTGCCCAGCGGTGACCTCTTGCAGGATCTTCAGCACGTGCATACACTCATCAACCCTCTTATGCACCTGCAACAGACAGAGTCCGGGGAAGGTGGAACCATGCATCACCACCAGCAAGAAGCTCGCTCCCCTACCAGACAAAGAAAGAATGCAGGCACAGTCTGCCCACCCCAGCTCAGCAAGCACTGTGGACCCCACATCCCTCCACAGGATCAGCTCCCTCGCAGAGGCTCACGTAAGCATCACCTACTCAGCCCTGCTACAGTTCAGAATCTACCTACTTACCCTGGGTTGTCAGGAGGACCAAATAAGACAGTGTATGAGAAAGCATTTTGGAGGGAAAAAAAAGAAAAGAAGGCTCTTATTATTAGCCCAGGACCGGACTCTCCTTGCCCACTGACAGCCCACATCATCTATCGCTGCTATCTGCCTAGCACTTCACTGGCCTGTGTCTCCTTGCCTTTTTTTTTTTTTTTTAAGAATTATTAACTTATGCATACAAGAATTGGGGTACAGGCCAGACATGCAGGGGGGTGAGAAGATTCACCAGAGACAGAGTGGGGAGCAGAACAGGCAGATCAAGTGAAATACAGTACTGAGAGGAGCAGTGGGCAGGACAGGAGAGGCCTGCTGTGCCATGTGGGTCAGCTCCCTGGCCGGGGATGGAACTTGGGCTGCAGTGGCTGGGGACAGCTTCACACTGCTACACCTTAACTCGTTGTGTCACCAGAGAGGGCCCCCACTCCCCATGTCTCCTTTTTTTTAAATAACATAATAGTATCTCTTTCCATCATTTTGTGCCTTTTCCATTTCAGCTGTAATCCCCGTGGGCTTCCCATCCCCATTCTCCTTCTAACCCTGACTTTTGACAACTGCTTCCCCAACCTCTTCAAAATCTAATGACATCTCTGATGGGGATTTCCCATTTGGGTACTTCTCCCCCACCTAACAGTCTCTCTCCAGGATTTTTCATCCTGCCACTTGGGGCAGCAGGAATAGAGAGGGGCTACACCACCTCAAACAGCCCTGTTACCCGGTGGTTAAGGCTGAGCATCCGCCAGCTCATCCTGGCGAGAGCTGCGGCTCTCAGCTCAGAAGGTCAGCCAGTGAGCAGCTGAGACAGCCGCAGCAGAGACGGGGATGAGTGTGAAGAGGAGGAAGTGCTGCAGACACGTGACTCAGAGGGGAAGCCCTGAGCACACAGCCCATCACTGCTCCTTTCCAGTGGGCTTCGTCACTCGCAGTGGTGAGAGCCCTGATCATGCCCCCTGCTCTCCAGCTCAGACGCACAGTGACTGGGATCCGAGAGAAGGTTCGGTTCGGTTGGGAGTGGGGGGCAGGGAGGCCAGGGTCATGCATCCCCTTCCCGCACTGGCACAAGCCTACCTGGCGATTCCGAACAGGGAATTCCTTCTCCCCTTCTGCAATTTTCCGGTGGGGGATCCATTCCTCCTCCAGCGACTGGTGAGGGGGCTGGTTCTCCTCTGGGGCCTGTTTGCAGAAGCAGGTGGCTGCAGCCGACCCGTCCCTGAAATATACATGCCACCAGACAGAAACCAGAAGACACTCTTGAGTTCATTCTCCCCTTTACCAAGTTGTCCTTTTCAGACACAATGCTCTAGACCATCCTCTGACTAGTTGGGGGAAAAGATGTAGGAGCCTAGAGAGGATGGTGGGAAAAACATGGAGTTTGAGAACTGAACCCCAACTCAGCTGTGTCATGTTTGGAAATCACTGAACCTTGAACTTTGCACTTCTCACTTGCAAAATGGGTGTAATATTTGCCTTGCATGGGTGTTAGGAAGAGAAGAAATAGCTTATCAGTAGGGGACTAGCCTGCATCCTAACCCACATGCTATCCAATCTGTGACAGTTTATTACAAGCCCTCACCTGTGTTCTGGGATGGCAACCACGAAGCCACGGGAGGCCAGTTCCATGCAGAAGGCGGAATACAAGGTCCTGCAGATTCAGGAGGGGCAGAGAAGTGAGCAAAGGATGGTCCAGACTTAGCCCCAACCAGGCTCTGCTGTGCCTGAGAAGGCTGAGCCAAGGAAGTTTCACCTGCGGCAGCTGGCTCAGGTGCCTTCTCCAGCCAGCATCCCCTTCTCCCCCAACGCTCTCCGCATCCCCTCAGCACTGCAAATCCATCCAGGGTGTATGCCATCCATACAATCACCAATTCACCTTCTCCCCCAACTGCAATTTTATTGCCTACACATTGTTTATGCCCAAATTACTCGGTAAGTTCCTTGAGGATAGTGACTTAGCATGTGGATAGTTAGTCTGTCCTCCAACTTTCCAAGAAAAAGGAATATGGCAGACACTGCCAATTTCTAGTCCAAACACCTATTTTTTCTTCCTCCTTTTTTTTATTATAATAGTTTATTTTTACATCATTTTGTGCCTTTTCCCTTCCTCCATTTTAACAGAATTTGATTTTCAGCAAAAGACAAAAATGTCATGCCATCAAGCCACAGTCGCTGCCTTCAAAGAACTCACAATCTAGTAGGAAAGAGACACTAAAGAATAATTCTACAAATGGCTCATGACAATTATGTTAAAAACTGAAAAATACATTGTCTTATGAAAGCGCCTTATCAGAAAGCTTAATATAACATAGGGGTCAGAATGGGGGTCCCTAAGAAAGTGACATCCAAATGGAGACTTCAAGGTAATCTGGAATTAGCCAGGTAAACGGGAGAGACAGAAGAAAGAGACAGTAAATGTTCCAGGCAGAGGGGACAACCTCAGAGCGCAGTGCCCAAGAAAACCCTGCAGCAGAAAATAACGCGGTGCAGAGGAGCTTCGCGTGTCTGGAGAGCTGGGGAAGGCAGAAAGCAAGACACGAGGCTGGAAGCTTTGACCTGGATCTACATCCAGGTAAGATTATGCAAAGAGCTAAATTAAGTTCAAAGGGCTATTTCAACAGGGGTGTGACAGTCATTCACCAAATATTCACTGGGCACTCACTATGTGCCAGGCCTGTTCGAGCTGCTGGAGCGACAAGATCAAATTTGGTTTCACAAGAGGTCTCAGTGTGTCTTTTTGGTTTAAAAAGCCCTCTCTCCAGTCTCAGAGGTCTCAGGAAGCTGGTCAACACTGGCTTCAGTGTGGACAATCGTTTGGGAGACCAAAACAGATGCCTGTGACATGTGTGACACTCTGGACTCACATGCTGTTGGAGAACATGCAAAGCTTAAATAGGAACTTGTGAACAACCGTCTCAGCGACACCACGCGCCGAGGGGCCGAGGCCCCAGCTCGTGGGAAGCGCGCTGACTGGACCCTGCGTCAGAAGGCTTAGGCCAACATCTCCACCCTCCGGGAGCAGACCCTTCCAGTTCACCAACCCAGTGTGAAGACCTTCTAATTTTCTCTGTGTCAGGAAACAGGGACGAGAACTCCCAGCCCAGGGGAGCAGTGTCCCCATTTGGTCGATTAGTAGAACACCTAAGTTCAGAAAGTTCTACAACTGTCCCCAACTCAGTGGGGCCGAGTGGCCTGGCTGAGGTTTGCAGGGCTGGTGCTCCAAGGCCAGGGAATGGACTCCCTGCTTCCTCAGTGCCTCGGGCAGAGCCACTCCCCTGTGTATGCTAAATCAGCAGCTCTCTGACCGAGGTCCAAGCACCTTCTAGCACTTCCGGGAGGAAGAAAGCTAAACGGGAGTATTTATGTAGCTGCTGCAACATGAGGCGCAAAGCACTGAAGCTGCTCCAGGCTCCACCAGGTGACAGGGGCTGGGAAGGTGGCCCGGTGCTGTGGAATGAAGCAGATGGTAGATAAGACAGCTGGCACAGGAAGTGTCTGCATTCTCTGCCCTTTGAGAACAAGTTTAAGCCTCAGCAGCTGGCACCAGACAAGGACTATGACAAAGTCGCAAGGTCAGGAGCAAGAAGCTCTTACCTGAAGGCTCCCAGGCCATGAGAGAAGATGATCAAGGGGTACCCAGACTCCTTTGCCTTAAAGGCGCCGTTCCAGCAAACAGGCAGGCGACAAGATCCTAGCAGAGACATGGGTGATAGAATTTCTGGCTGCCCAAACCTCTAATCCCAAGGCAGTCTGGGTACGGGCATTATTGGGGACTGCGTCCCTCCCCTCTGGAGACCACCTGTTGCCCCTGAATAAACAAATAACAGGCACCAGTCAGGGTCACAGTCTACATCCCAAACAATGCACTAGAAGCCTTACAGACGTGTCACACTGCCGTGCTGCAAACTCAGGTGATCAGACAGGTTAAGAAACTTGCTTAAACCCCACAGCTAGGAAATGTAAGTCTGGATTGGAAACGAGGACAGTCTAGCCCTATAGCCAAAGCTCTCACATAATTCTCTCCCAGCTCTCCACACCAGACTGGTTAAGTACATAATTCTCTCCCAGCTCTGCACACCAGACTGGTTAAGTGGATGCCCCACCACAATAGGGCTGGATAAAGCAAAGGTCTTGCTTTCAGCCTGGGAATCTCTGAGGAACACAAACGAGAAGTCAGGAAAGCACTGGGGGTCGGGCCAGCCCTTACCCATGGCCAGGCTGAACAGCAGCCCGCCCCAACGCTTATTGAACTGCATGTACTCGGCCAGGCCACTGCAGTACTCTTGGCGGGGGATCCACAGGGGCTGCTCCGTGGTCTCTGCTCCTTGGCAGGGGTAGAACAGTCGAAAGAAGCTCCCCTGTGGGAAAGAAGAAAGCAGCTGCTCAGATCAAGAAGCCCAAGCAGCACTGGCTTTCCCAATAGACACACTCAGCAGGTGTTTGGGGACCAGCAGAGCAGGGCACCCCCGTGGCCGGCTTAGGTTTCAGGAGCCATTTCATTTTTAGCATACTTGTGAAGGCTGTGTCATTTCAAATAGCCAACTGTATGCCGATTACATCTGGGAGGCGCCAAAACATGTTCGGGACATGAAGAGACTGAAATCTGGCCCTGGGCCCAGGAAGAGAAGGGTCAGCTATGGTGCTGAGGAGGGCGGTCACCCGGGCCACCCCTCCAGGCTGGCCCACGGGCAGCATGGGAGTTGATGAGAGGTTTCCAGGAAGGGGCGTCAAAGGCCTCCAGGACAGGTGAGAAGAACTCAACTGCCTTTGAAATGATGGAAAAAGAACCCATCCTCTGTCTACTGACATGTTTCCAATTGAAAAGAGGAAGAAAAAGGCAAGGAAGTGTCTAACCACGTTCTCACCAGAGCTAGCTCAGTTTCCCCAACCTGGAACTGCGCCAACAGCCTCACTATTGGAACCCCCAGGCTGCCAGCAGGGGTACGTGCCCAGGCTGGCTAGAGACGCTTACCTGGACACTCAGGCCCTCCATCACATCCCCGCAGCCGACGAGGTGGGGTCCTGAGACAGGTGGAAAGCCCACAGACTGGCTGACCCCCATTTCATCACCAGCTGAATCCAATGACTTGGGCAATGCTGAACTTGACGGCTGGAGGGTGGAACACAGAACAGCTTCTTGCTGGTTTCTCCTTAGCTTCTTGTGGCTCACACGTGTCCGGTGCACCCCGCCCCTTCCCTCACCCCATGCTCTCGTCAGGGACTCATTCCTCTTCCACATTATCCGCTTTGCGCCACTGGCTATGTCAAGGTTTAGGGGCTGCTGTTTTGTTGCTGGTAATAGTGGTGGGAGATGAGCAGATGGTTGCGAAAAGGAAAGAATTTCCATAGTCCTTAAAACCCATTAACAAGTGTTTATTCAGCATATATTATTAACCAGTATGTAGTAACTGTTGCAGAAAATTTGACACAGTTGTCCTCCTGAGGCCAAGAATACTCACTACCAAGATCTATTATTTACTCTGCATCACCACTGAGCCAAGCTCCTGATATACATTACACCAACTCATTCTCTCAACCACCACGATGAAAGTCCTATTAAGACCTGATTTTGCAGAGGAAGTTAAGGCACAGAAAAGTTGAGTAGCTTTCCCAAGTCACACTACTTATAGGTGGCAAACCCTGGCTCATCTAATCCACACCTGAGCTCTTAACCCTAACTCAGCCAGCTCAAGGGGAGACATAGTTATATTTGCCAAATCACAGACCTCAACTCTTGACTGTCAGAGTGCTATTTTGGTGGGCCTTGAAGAGGAAAGAGATTCAGGGGCAGGAGAGAAGGAAAGTATTGCATTTCTTTTCATTTTTTTTTAAAGAGTTATTTATGCATATAAGAACTAGGGTACAGGCCAGAGGTGTGAAGGGTGAGAGGATTCACCAAAGACAGAGTGAGGAGTAGAACAGGCAAATGTACTGAAATACACTGCTGAGGGGAGCAGCGGGCAGGACAGGAGGAGTCTGCCAGGTCTTGTGGATCAGCTCTGTGGCCGGGGATCAAACTCATGCTGCAGTGGCTATGGCTTCAGATAACCCAGGGAAGGCCTGGAACGCATGTCTAATAGGACACAAAATAAGGGCAGAGACCAGGAAGAATAGGATGAGGGCAGCAGATTAAACAGGAACCTCCATTGAGGCAGGTGGGCATGCTTCGGCCCAGAACTTGGCTGCTTTGTGGACTGGGGCCAAAGCCGTGGCTTTCTAGTGCCCTCCCGTCACGCCCTCACCAGCAACAGGAGCATCACACTGACTGTGCCAGGAACTGCACTGGCACTTTACATGGATTATTTCACTGAATCCTTAAAACAATCCTGAGATCTGTACTGCAATCTCCTCTTGTGGATGTGAAAACTAAGGCTGGATAAAGTTAGACCATTTACCCAAGAATACACAGTAGAGAGCCGGAATCCGCCCATGTGGTTTTAACAGGAGAAAATGTGGCCCAGCAGCCTGCTCTCTGATGTGTTGTGTCTCCTGAGCACCAGCCCTGTGATTTGGGGGGGCTGACCCCTTCCTAGCCTCTAGATTGGCCGTTTATGGGCCAGAGTCAGTCAGCCTCTGGTACCCTCTGCATCCAGGTGGAGGGTGGGCCCGTGACATAAGTTGTTCTACTCAGAGCAATGCCCAGGACTATGATGTCATGCTTGGAAACGTTCACCCTTGTGAACCAGAGTGAGCGCACATATGAAGTTTTGAACTGTGGTGACCATTTTGCTACTTCTGAGGAGAAAGTTACCCATGGAGGCTGGCAGGATTGAGAGAATCACAGAAAAACGGAGGCTTGTTTGTAGAGGCATTAAAACAACCTCTGGTAAATCCTGACCCACTCCCAGGCGATTTCCAATTACATAAATCCATAAACCCCCCTTTTTATTTCAGCTGGGTTTAGATTTCTATTGCTTAAACCAAAAGTATCTGAACTAGTAGTCAAGTTCCATACTCGTATTTCCACTTGTTAAATCATTCTGCTTTCCTTCAGACACTGTGGGATGCCTCGATCAAAGCATGTCTGGGCATGAGAGGCCTTAAAGAACATTTCTGTTGATCCTCCCTCCCCATGGTCATTCCCCAATCCCCAGCCCAGGACACATATGTTTTTTACAGGTGAAGAAATCAAGGTCCTGAGAGGTTAAGTGAGCTGCTCAAGGTCATTAGCAGAACTATTACTACACAGAAAATTCCTCATTACTAAATTCCAGCTTGCTGGTCCAGTGCTAAGCCCCAAACAACCAATAATTCTGACATCAGTCTACTGAATTTTAAAAGATAATAAATGATTTTCTTTCCACTACAGACTTCATTTGGTTCATCTGAAGCAAGTCGAACCCAATCTTTCTCAAAAATAAACTCAATTTTTCCTAATAAGACGCCACGCTCCTGAGGTAGTCAGCAGACTAGCTGCCACAGTAAGCTGAATGTAGGCCTCATGGTCTCAGGCCCTGCCCTGTCCCCTTGTTGAGGGGTTGTATGGAGACCTGTGATTGGGACACAAGACACGTGTCATCCACATGACAACGGGACAGTCACAAGTTCTAAGAGCCATAAAAAAGATCAGATCCTATGTGGCAGGAGTTCCAAGAAGAAAGTGCTTTTTAGCTTGGTGGTGGGGGGAGGGGGAGGGAGATAGGAATAGCTGACAGCTGACTTTCCAGCAGAAAAGTGTGAGCAACGGCACAGAAGTAAGAAAGCGCATGTGAGAAACAAGCAGTCAGTGACGGTGCAAAGTGACAAAAGGAAGTGGTGACCAGAGTTGGACAGTAGCAGGGCCTCAAGTGCTGGGCTAAGCATCTGGGACAGATTGTGGGAACAAGGTCGTAGATATGAGCTCTCACGCCGGAAAGACCCAAGGTCGGGCCCCAGCTCCTTGGCTGCTTTCTTACCTCAGCAAGTTATCTGATCTCTCAAGTCTGACTTCCCATCTGTGCACAGGGAATACTATCCATCCTCACAGGGTTGCTATGGAGACAAAGTGAAATAATGCACTTAAAGCACTCAGGATGGTATCTGGCTCTGAATAACTATTCGGGAAATATCTGTTGATTGAGTGAAAAGTAGAAACAACAGAATTTGGCAACTGAATGGATTTGGGGAGTCAAAGGAAAGAGAAGAGCCAAAGATGAGTAAGGTTTCAGGACTGCGTGACCAGAATGGTAACAGCTGCCTATGGGAAGAGATTCTGGTTTCACCCTGCACAGAGAAGAGGGCTAGAGCTAAGAATCAGGACAAATAGATTTGAAAACAGTCAAACAAGAAGCAGCAGACCCTCTGCAGTCATGGGGAGGATCTGGGAAGGTCGTCGATTAAGTCTGGAAATAAATAAAAACTAAAGAAGCCAATTGGTCAGTGTGAAGGTAACATGAAAATGAATCTACATCCCCTGGGCTCACATTGACTGACGCTCAAGTAGGATGGGGAGATGGAAAATTCCAAACTGACTTGCAAATTCTGCCTATGAGACATCCACACAAAACGTCCGAATTCATCTGTAACAAATGCCATGGAATTTTCCAAGGAACACAGCCCAGGTGTCTCTCTTTTTTTGTCCACCTTATCTGAACAACTCACAGGATGCTGTCTAGAAGCCTCTCCTCCCACTAAAAAAAATCACTCAGGGAAATCGCTGGTCCTCTGTGAAATTTTATGGATCCTTCTACTCTTCCTTCTGTCCAAACTGAATTTATTCAGTTTTTTCACACACTAACTCTTCTGATATGCTATAGAGGCAAAGAACATTTTTTACTTTTGTAGGCCAAACCATCTATTTTATGCTTCCCCCCCAAAGAGGAGGAACTGAATAAATGTTCCTTTATGTAGCTTTGATTTAAATACTTTCAACTCTTCAATCAGTCTTTTTCATGTAAAAACAGGTTATATGGTATAGAAGGAAAAGAAAGGCTTTGGTGACAGCCTAAAATTCCAACTGCACTTAACTGGCTGTGTGATCTTGAGCAAGTCCCTTAAATTCTAAGTCTTTGGTAACTGATCCACATAGAAGAAGTAATAAAAATCAGTCATGAAGTTATTGTGAGGATTAAATAATGCCTGTCAGGCCATTGACATACAGGCGGCACGATGACCACAGATGGTAGCCCTCGTGATCTCTCTGAATGTACAGTCTTTATGTGTCAAATGTAAGTGAAATTTAGATAAGGAAACTGACCGTGGTCTAAGACTGCTTTATTAAGTGCTCATAAACTGTTAGGAATTACAAAGGTATGTGTCTCTTTTCCCATACCCAGTGGAGAGTTCTATCATTTTTCCTCGATTAAATTCTTTGGCAAAATCAATTCTTCCCTCCCTGAGTTTTCAAGCCTGAGACATCCCTACTAGTCTGCTACACAGGCCCAGAAGGATCCAGAGGGAATGCAGGGGCTGCGAGGGCAGCGGAGGGCAGCTGTCCAGTTCCTGTGGGGACCCTGTTTCCACTGACAGGAGCCGCCCTTCTGCCAGCTGTGTGGACTTTTCATCACTGGCTATTTCAGGACAGTGGCCAAGACAAGCACCTCTCTGAGATTTCAGACAAAGGTCTCTGAAGGCTCAAAGCTCGTATGTCTGATCTCTGTTCTCAGGAGGAAGTGAGGAAATACCAGCCTGCTCTTAGCGCACACAGACACCGAAAGCTCAAAGGGCTGGCTTGAGCAATAAGGAGGCAGAGCTAGAAAAGAAGCCAAGATAAGAGTGCTCCAGAGCATTAATAATTATAATACACATCATCTCTCTAGCTTGTGAAGGCTTTACAGTTTACAAAGCACTTTCACACATACTTGTTTACTGGCATGGCATCCTAAGACCAGTGGAGCAGTTGTCATCTCCATTTTACAGACAAGAGAGTGAATCCCAGAGAGAGTCACGCAGCAAGTGAGCAGCAGAGCGGGGCTAAAACCTGGGTCTACTCACTGTGAGTTCGTGGATGGAGAAGGAACGGTGACCGACCCTTCTTCCACTAACATAAAAACCAGTAAAGTGAGCATGAGCGTGAAGCACAGAAAGCGAAAAGAAGCCAAAGTCCTGGTGAAGCTGCAGGCTCAGGGTAGAGCTTACTGCACCCAAGGGCTTGTGGGCGCAGGATGTGGGTTACAGGAGCTGAGGCTCGGCCAAGACAGAGCCGAGAGGGAGTCCAGGGCCGCGGGGAGCAGAGGGGTGAGGTGACAGTGGGAGTCAAGTGGGTTAAAGGTAGGGGAGGTATTGGAGATGTCTGAATAGAAATAGAAAGGAAGACAAATGTGGAGCTCCTGAGATTGAGAGGAGGGGGCCCGAAATCGGGCTGCAATTAAAAAAAAGAAATCCTGCAGCTATCTCAATACAGAATACGAGCTTTCTCCAATCATACTTACCCAGTCAAGTTGACCCTTCAGAAGCACCTAGACGTTCAACTGCACGGAAACGAGAAACTGCCCAGGACCCCGTGGCGCTCTGGTAGTTGTAGTTTTCAGAACTCCACATTGGCGCTTAAAAACACGGCCCTCGTCTCTGCTTGGAACCATAACTCCCGAGGTGCACCGCGCAGGATTGCCCGAGGACTACAATTCCCAGAGTTCCACGCGACACCTCCCGTTGGGTGTAGCCTCCCAAGGCCACGGACGCGGTGCGATTCCTCCCCCTGGCGGTAGGAGCAGCAGCAGCAGCCATCACTGTAAAGCGCAGCAATCGTTATTGTTATAAAGCCGTTAGTAACCTTCCGCTTCTCCGTTCCTCAAGTAGTTCCTAGGCGTGCTTAGTGATTAGCAGCGAGCACACTTTACTCGAGGGGCGATTGAGAGTAGGTCGGGTCTTGCTTTGTACCTCTCCACGAAAGCCCCCACTTTGCTTCCTGTGAATATATCAGACAAATCGTTCAAATTAAGGGCACATTTCCTACCAACATGTACTTATTGACCCCTGTCATTTTCCATAGTCCTTCTCCAGAGACTAACTGACCCCCAACCAGGAGAAATCGATGACATCCGCTATTCTCACCGCACCCCCAGTCCCAATCCCTCCACCGCCCCAATGTATCGGCTCTATCAATGCTGTTCTTAGGAACACACGGTGATTAAAATACTACTCCTAGAAAAAGGAACTCTCCTGCACTGCTAGTGGGAATGCAAACTAGTACAACCACTGTGGAAAACTGTTTGGAGGTTCCTCAAACTGCTAAACATGGAGCTTCCCTACGACCCAGCAATCCCACTCCTAGATATCTACCCAAAAGATACAAAAACACTGATGGAAAAAGATACCTGCACCCCCATGTTTATTGCTGCTTTATTTACAATTGGAAAAACATGGAAGCAGCCCAAATGCCCAAAAGTAGATGCCCAAAAAAGATATGGGACATATATACAATGGAATATTACTCAGCAACCAAAAAAGAGAAACACATGTCTTTTGCAGCAACTTGGATGGAGCTGGAAAAGATCATGCTTAGTGAGATAAGCCGGAAAGAGAAAGAAAAATACAGGATGGTTTCACTCATAGCAGGAGTATAATGGACCAGGCGAGAAAATAACAAAAATAATGAACAACCATATACCGGAGACATTTTGAGGGGGTGGAGTGGGGAATGGGATCAAAAACGGAGGGGGGGAGAGAGAAATGCACGGGATTATGGTGATGGCACAGGGTGATTTGGTGATGGGAAACCCACGGGGATTACAATCGAGATGGGGGGAAAAATGTACAAAATGATGTAAAAATAAACTTTTGTAATAAAAAAAAAAAAACTACTCCTAGCCTCGACAGATTTCACGATCCAGTAGAGGGCTCCAAAAAAGGAACAGGTGCAATGACAGGAGATAGGTGTTCTAATGTGGGTGACATGGGGTTGTGGGAGCCTGGAAAAGGGGCACCTGCCTGGGCATGGGGGAGAGGGTGTCAGCAAGTCTTCTTAGGGGAAGAAAAGTCAACGTGGAGACCTAGGAGTACAGGCAGTGGGAAGAATGCCTAAACACTCGGCTGGAGTCCATGGTGTGAGGGGTGGGATGGACAGGTGCCTGACCAGCCAAGTAGGACTCACTTCTCAAGAGTCCTGTAAACCTCCAGAAGAAGTTTGGATTATTCAGCAGCTCAAAAACTTATTTTTTTTTAAGATTTATTTATGTACACAGAATTGGGATACAAGCCAGACATGCAGGGGTAGTGAGAAGCTTCACCAGAGACAGAATGGGAAGCAGAACAGGCAGATTGATGAAGTACACTGCTGAGGGGAGCAGCGGGCAGGTCAGGAGAGGTCTGCGCGCGATGTGGGTCACCTCTGGGGCAGGGATCAAACTCAGACTGAAGCAGCTGCAGCCAGTTTACAGTGCTGCATCCCAACCTGTTGTGCCACCAGGGAGGACCAGCTCAAAAAGCTTTTAATTACTTCCTACCACCTGCTGAATGAGGTCCCACTTCTTAACCTGGCGGTCAAAGTGGCGCCCAGCCTCGTCGTCCCACCTGCTCCCCCAGCAGTGCTGATCTCTCTTCTGACAGGAATGCCCTTTCTTCTGCCAGGGCTATCACCAGCTGCATTTACCTCCTCACACACACACACCATTCTCAGGATGTATCAGGTTCTCATTGTTACCTCTGTATTTTCACTCATGTTTTTCTGTCCACAGAGTACTCGACCCTGCCTAGTGGCCTGCATGATTCTGTTATTTCTTTACATTCACCGAGCTCCTCCCTCTCCATAAGCCTCGATGATTATTACAGTTTTAAAAGACTTCTGCTCCCTTTGGTGGCTGAAATTATTTGTGTGCACCTCTCATTTGGGGGCTGAGAGGTTTTAACTCTCCAGTGAATTGTGAGGCTGTTGAGGTCAGGTGCTGAGAGCTCATCCCTCTGTCCACCCACCTCACATAACCTCAGATCACCAGTGCACAGTGCACGCCTGTGCTCAAGCACACATGTCCTGGAACACCATCACTTCAGCTGTCCTGGTCATGACGGTCTTTTCTTGCTTCTGCTTCTTTGAAGCACAGCAGGACAGCCTGGTAACCAGGGGACAAAAAGACCTGTAGTGGCCCTCCCTATTGGCGCAGAGGGTTACAGCACAGCACTAACAAGCTAAAGCCACCTCAGCATGAGTTCGATCCCTGCCCCGGAGGTGACCCACCTGGCGGCAGACCTCTCCTCTTTTGCCTACTGCTCTCCTCAGCAGTGAACTTAGTCAGTTGACACCCCACTCTGTCTCTGGTGAATCCTCTTACCGCCCCTGCACCCCAGGTTAAATGGGAATAGGGGTTGGCGTAGGAATGCTGGGGAGGGCGAGTAGGGAGACCGTTTTCATAAATTGACAGACTGTGTTTCAGAGTGCAGGTCCAGAGGAACGTTCACTATTCTCAAGGTGACATCTCATTGCTCAGACCAAAAATAGCATGGAAGACAGAGCTAAGATACCCAGCCCCTGGGTAGATGGATAACATCAGAAGCAGCTAGGGGCACTCAGCGCAACGCAATTCTGGATGAAATGGAAGTTATGCCTTGCCTTAACAGAGAGCAACCAACCAGGTCCCGGGGAGGCTGATCTAAGGGCCTTACCTCCAGTCTCCTGCCAGGTGACCTCATGTTGAACTGGTTCTTGTCTCAAAGGCTGGTAGGCATTGGTTTTTGGCTTCTGTGCCATCGGGCTGGGGGCCACCTTGAGCAACATCGCCACTACCATCCTTTCAGGAGCCATGATAAAATCATCAAGAGAGTGATGACAGCACGCACTATGGTAATTAAGCCCTGGATTTAATTAAAGCTGTGGCTGCTGGTGGTGATGGCAGAACATAAAAGCTCAGTGCAGATCAGACAGTCGCTCCCTTTGGCCAATGAATCATTCTTCTGCCTTCTGCAGCTGGGCCAGAACACCCATGACTAACCAGAGCCCCAAGTTATTAGGAAGGTAGTGTCTCCTACTCCCACACCAGGCCACGCTGGGAACATTGACCAGGCAACTAAGTGTTTCACTCCCCAGGGACAGTCTCCTTCACCATCTGTCACTCCTAGAAAGATCTGCCCAACTTTTCCCTGTTGCAAAAATAGATAATGACCTGAAAATAGATATTGGTCCACAATGATCAGTGACCTGAAGCCAATACTGCAATCCCTTGTCCCCAGGCCACTCCCCAGTCAATGAAATTCAACTGTTTTGTTCTCCAAAGCCCACTTCCCAAAATGTAACATAAAGCCCACTCCACTGACCTTTCTGGGACGCAGATCTGAGTTCTGAAGCTCTGACATCCTGCTGAGATGGCTTTGCATCGAAGTCCTTTCCTTTCCCCAAATCTGGTAGCATAACTTTTTGGCATTTATGTACACTAGATAGATAAACCCTTGACTTTTTCAGCAACAGATCCTGCTTTTTTTTTTTAATATTTATTTATTCATACAAGAACTGGGGTACAAGCCAGAAGTGCAGGGGAGTAAGAGGATTCACGAGAGACAGAGTGGGGAGCAGAACAGGCAGATCGATGAAGTACACTGCTGAGGGGAGCAGCGGGCGGGTCAGGAGAGGTCTGCCGCGCCATGTGGGTCAGCTCCGTGGAGGGGGATTGAACTCGTGCTTCAGGGGCTGCGGAGAGCTTCACAGTGCCGCACTGCAAGGAGGGCCCAGATCCTAGTTTTATGGGGCTTAAAGCTTATACAATGGGGGAGGAAGGCTATTTTTTAAAAAGAACTTTAAAATATCTTACTTTTTCAAAACTTGCAAAATGTGACCCTATGAACACATTGAGGCCTCCCTCCCAGGCCTCAGAAATGACTGTGAAACATAAATTTCATTAGGTTCTTCATACTTTGGCTCAGAGAAGAAGCAAAATTATACACTGTCTTGACTGATACAAGTTGTGCCCAAATACCCTTGTCCTGAGGTTGAAACCTGCTCAAGTGTTCTTAGCTCCTTCTTACATTACAGCCTGGGAGTTAGTGAGCGATGGGTCAGTGATGGGGGAACTGACTTTGTCCTGCTGTGAATATAACTGCACCTGCTCTGGTCGGCGTTGGGACCCAGAGGGAGCCTCGATGAATCTTCTTCTAACATCCTGTGAGCAGATAGAATAGATGCTACCTGTTCACAGGACAGAGCTGTCCTTTGTAACTGCTCCCAGAACCATTTGGTTCTTCCATTCAAATACTGAGCACCAACAGTGTGTAAGGCCCCGTGCTCCAGACTGGAGGTCAGGCTGTGATAATAGGCAATCATTCCCCACCCACACGACGCCTCCATTCTAGTGAGGAGATGAAGTGAGCAAACACATAACCAAGATAATTACATACAACAGACAAAATGGTGATATATAAGAAATATATATTTGGTTACGCAGATAACTCAAATATATTTCTCATATATATAGCTGGCCTTCATAATTCCACACTTTCCAAAGTGTTGGGTAGGATAAAGGTGTCTTTTGTTATGTGACTAAGATTACTTTTCTTTCTTTTTCTTAAAAAAGATTTATTTATTTATGCTTACAAAACTGGGGTACAGGCCAGAGGTGCAGGGGGCAGGTGA